CTATGTGTCAGGCACTGTGCCAACCAATTTACAAATAATCTCTCATATGATCTTCACAACATCCCCGGGAGATAGATACTATTATTATCCACATTTTACAGTTGAAGAAACTGAGATAGGCAGATTGTTTAGTGATTTGCCCAAGATCACACAGCGGGTGAGTATCTGAGACTGAATTTGAACTCAGATCTTCCTGATTCCAGCCTCAGTACTCTATCTACTGCACCACCAAACTGCCTCCAACTAGCCAGAGTGTCTCCCCTAAATTCTAGTACTGTATCATCAACTACCTATTGGACGTCTCTAGCCAAATGTCCTATTGTTATTGTTCAGTTATTTTTGGTCGTGTCTGATTCTTCATAACCCCATTTGGAGTTTTCATAACAGAGATACTAGAGTGGTTTGCCATTTCCTTCCCCAGCTCCCCTCCCCAGATGAGGAAACTGAGACATACAGGGTTAAGGGACTTGCCCAGGGTCACACAGATAATAAGTGTCTGAGGCCAAATTTAAACTCAGGAAAATGAATCTTCCTAACTCCAAGTTTGGCATTCTATCCACTGTGCCAACTAGCTGCCCCTTCATGTACCTTATGGTCCAGCAAAAGTAGCTTACTTGCAGTTCCTCATACATAACATTCAATTTCCCATCTCTGGACCTTTGCACAGGCTGTGTCCCATGCCTGGAATACTGTCCCCTCCTCAATTCTGCTTCTTCGAATTCCTAGTTTCAAAGCTCATTTCAAGCACTGTCTCCTTCAGAAGGCCTTTCCAGATTCTCCTCCCCCAGTGGCTATTGCCTTCCCCCCCAAAAAATCCCTCATATTTATTTTGTAAATACTATATATACGTATATAGTGTGTGTGTATGTATATATGCTTTATAAATTATCTTTACATATACTTTATATGCACATATATACATACTTTATACATTTACATATCCATACTTTATATATGTGCATATATCTCTATATGTACATACCTCATATATTTGTATGCGTGTATGTATTCAAATGTATGAGTGTATATGTATTCGTACATCCACACTTTGCCTCATCCATAGACTGTCAGCTCTTCAAGGACAATGATTGTTTTGACTTTGTTTCTGTATGCCCAGAGCCTAACCCATTCCCTCATAACTAAAAAGCCCTTTACAAATGCTTATTGACTGATTGTTTGCTTGACTCCAAATTTTAATCCTTATAGGAAAAATCAATTAACAATTAATTCAAGTCTTCTTCAATGCTGGAATAGGGATATGCAGTGAGGGAGATTTCACGCCCATGAGATGGATCAGCACACACCATTGCAGGGACTAGAGTAAGGCCCCCATTACTCTACCTTACTCCCTTTTCATAATGCATCTGAAAGATTTCCCCAAAATAAAAGTCAAGCTCACGAGTTTGTAGTTTGCAGCCTTCACTCTCATCCCTTTTTGAAAACTTGAATAGTATTTGCCCTTCTCCAATCCTGTGGTTCCTCTCCTATTCTCCATGTTTTTTCAAAGATCACTGATAGGGGTTCAACAATCATATGTGACTTCAGTATCCTAGCATACTGGGAATAAACCTGTTGACATGAATTCACCAAGGGTATCTAGGGGCCCTAGCTGATATAGACAGAAGGCTGTATGGTTCACAAAGTCTTTATATGCACATGGTTTCATGTAATCCTTACCACAACCCTATAAGGTAGTTACCTGACCCTTATTCATATGGCCTAAGGGGAAAGTCCCTAGCCATAGCCTTGGGGAACAGTGATGTAATCTATCAACCACATGACCATCATGAGGAAGGGAACCATGCGACTAAATGGTAAAAGCTCCTGATGGGGTATCTCTCTGGAAATCTAGAAGTCCTAAGTTTATGGGTCTCAGAATCTGGCCTCCTAGTCAGAGAAGCTGGGGGTTGGGGACAGTAAAATCCAAGAACCTAGCTTTTCCTATCTAAGTAATCCAGATTCACAGACACTTAAATTTCAGAATTCAAGAAGATGCACTCCTCAGAAACTCTCACTATGTATGCCTAAATTTCCTCTTTCCAAGGCTGCCACATTGCAGAGAGCATGCAGACCCCCTCCCCAATTCAATGCACCACCCTATGGCTTAGACTTCCCCCAGAAGGGCAACAAACTTGCTGATAGCCTAAAGAGCCCCTCTTTCATCCCACAGAAACCTATAGAGATACTCATCCTTACATAACTACTCTGAGGGTTTGGACTCCCCCAAAAGGAAGCACACTTAAGGCCACTACACAGATAACCACCATCCCAGGTAACAGTTGAAGGTAAAGTCCACATCACTTGCTCCTCCCCTATCATGACTTTAGACCCATGTGACTGCTTTTCCTGGCAGTGGGGGCCAAGTAGACAATCTTCTCCTCTTGTACTGCTAAGGAAATTACCTTAAAACAGATGGTGAAATTCTTGACCTTGGAATTACTCTTGAGGCAACTCCTAAGGATGGCACTATTAAAATAAATGCTCCTTATCTGATTGAAAGGCTAGATTTTGAAATCACATTGCCCAGAAAACTCCCCTTCTCCAGCTGGAAGGCCAGAAACCAGGACTCTTGGCTTTGCTAGAAGGGTTATCCTCAGGAACTCACCAATTAGCTGTTGCCTCTCCAAGGCTAATGCCAAGAACTTGACAATTGCCTAGAAACTCTCCTCTTGAGCCACAGGGGTGAGAGCATAGGCAGCTCCCAGGTGCTTCTGCCCCAAGCATGGGATAAACGACTCTGAGTTGGGAAGATCCCCACCTAGGCCAAGCCATGCTCTTAGCTCTGCTGTACTGTTAAGATCTTAAGAAAAATGAAAAGAAAGACAAAAAGGAAAGAGCAGGCCGAAAGGATTTGGAGTATCCCTTTTACTGGCCAGCACAAACGGATTCCAGCTCCCAGAATAGTCTATCCCACACTAGCCAGAACTGACCAGTTCACCTTGGAGTTAGCCTGGATCAGTGAAACTCAGCCTTAAAGAAGGCACTAAGGGCCATGATCTCGCCTTCCAGGAGAAGACACATTCAAGGCCCAAGCAAAGGATAGGAACAGTTGTAGGTGTATAGTAAATACCTTGGCTCAAGTCCTTACATACAAAATGGAAGATGATATTTGTGTAAAGTGCTGATCAAGGAAGCTCCCTCATCACCTGGATAACCTCAAAGGTCTTTTCCACTCAGTCCTATAATATCATAACTAAATGATATCTAAAATCCCAAGCCTATGTAAGCATATTGCATTTTTCATAGAAGATATGTTCCTGAAGAGTCATATGAAATTACATTTTTAAATTGAATGAGGAAGCTTTTAATGTCTTGGGGAAAACAAAGTGCCCTTTTAAGAACCTCACTCCTTAATTCATTCTTACTAAGTTCAGTTTTCTGAACAGGGGGTTCTGTTAATGTAGGCCCTAAAACCAGAGCACGAACACGAATAACAGACACAAGGGTGTCGTTCTGTGGAGCTTGTCCTCGCTGTGTCTCAGATCCAAACCATTCTGTGTAATGTAACACTACAAAACTCGGGAAACCACATGTGAAATTTCCATTTTTGTTCTGGGGATTTTTATTATTTTATTTTATTTTATTCTTAGGGAAGAGTATTCTTGAAGTCAGGAGAGCTGAGTTCATATTTGGGTTCCAACACTCACTAGTGTTGGCACCTTCAGCAAGGTGCTCAGCCTCTCTGAGCGTCAGTTTCCTCATTTATAAAAAAAAAAAAAGAAAGAAAAGAAAAGAAAAGAAAAGAAAAGAATGATCCTGTAGTGCTTAAACTACTTTGGGCGGGAAAAAAGCCAATCAACAAGTAATTTTAGATTGCTCTAGAAAAGTGAACTATCACTCGTGTGGGTAACTCACTTTATCTCTCTAGGTCTATTTCTTTGTCTGTAAAATGAAAATGTTGGTCTAGACCAAAAGTCAAACACACAGAAGCCCACAACACTCCTGAGTGTAGCTGAGCCAGATTAAAATGACATTGGGAAATATTTAACAAAATAAAATATGATAAAAACATAGGTAATAGTAGTATGTGGTTTTCTAAGTCAATATGCAGTCTTCAGGGATCCTTAGGTATCATTTTGTGGCCTCCATTTCTATTAGAGTTTGATGTCATTGGTCTAGATACACACTAGATCTCTCCACTACAATTTCATATTTGTTAAGTGATAATACTAATCTATATGCACTGTATTCCTCCTTGAGGATTTGTTCTTCTAATAATATCCTGGGTATTGGATATTGGATAATGGATAAAAGGGCTATAGAACAAAATTAACTCTAAGAGAAGCAGTTTGGTATGTTGGAAAGAGCAATGGTACTGGAATCAGAGGATCTGAGTTCAAATCACACCTTGTCTACTTGGGGAAGTCAGTTTACTCAACAATAAAAAGGAAAGGATTGAACTAGATGAGGTCCATCCCAGTGCTAAAGCTACGATCCTATTTCCTTCCTCCCATTCTTATTCGGCGAGAGATCCCTGGATTGGATGCACACAGCCTTGCTAGCCAAATTTCAAAAAGTTCGGGTGGCTACCCAGTGATACGGTTTAGTGACCAGTTTGGGCAACAGTAACCCAGAAAAAACCTTCCACTAAGGCCTTGACTTAGAGGTGAGAGGCCTGAGTTCAAATCCTGGCTGTAACAATTATGAATTAGGTGATCCTGGGTAAGTCCCTAACCTCCCTGGGCCTCAGTTTCCTCACTGTAAAATAAAGATAGCAGCATCTTCACTTTCCTTCCAAGGAGGTTGCAACAAAAGCACTTTGACAAACTTTAAATCTTTTAGCAAGGGAGCAAGTCTTTTAGCTCACATCAGAACAAATAACAGGGAAATATGCTCCAACTGTGTCTTGGATCCATGTTTTGTCCCCTCAGCTATACTATATGTTTCTCAAAAGCCTGTGGCCCTGGCTTCTCTTTCCTCCAAATCCCCATAATTCCCTGATGATGGACAGGGCTCATCAAACGTCTTCTGAACGAGAGTGACGCTCAGTGGCCAGTTACCTCCAGATGGCGCCCCAGTGACTCTTCGGATAGATTTCACCCACTCCTCCATCTCGGACTGTGAGCTGGCCATGAGGACGTAGGAGTCCTGTCCCGTTCGACTCTGGTCCCATGAGGCTGCAGGAAGAAAAAAATCGTGAGGCATTAGGACCAGCAAAGGAAGAGAAGACTGAATTAGGCACTTAATAAATGTTTATTAATTGATTGATGGATCAAGGGCTTATGACATTAGGATACAGAGAAATTATACCCCACCCACATAATTTTTGGCTCACCCATGTAAAGCCAAAGAATAATCATCATCATCATCATCATCATCATCACTCTCACACACACAGCACTTTGAGGTTTACGAAATGCTTTTCTCACAAAAGCCATGATCTCATTGGTATCTACAGGGCTGAAAGAGGAAGTGATAAGTCAACCTCTTCCCTCTGCCCTCATCCAGCTACCTAGTGGAGTGCAGCAAATGTTTAATAAAGCTCTGTTAAATTGCAGTTGTCAAGTGAAACTCTCTCTCTCCCCTTCTCTTTCTCTCTCTTTTTCCTTCTCTTTCCCTCTCTCTCTTTCTCTCCATCTCTTTCTTTCCCTCACTCTCTTTCCCTCTCTCTCTCTGTGCCTCTCTGTCTGTCTCTGTGTCTCTGTCTCTTTCTGTTTCCCTTGCTTTCTTTCCCTCTTACTCTTTCTCTCTCTCTGTCTCTTCCTCTCTCTTTCTTTCTCTGTGTCTGTCTCTGTCTCTCTTTTTCTCTCTTTCTCTCCATCTCTCTTTTCCTTGCTCTTTTTCCCTCTCTCTGTCTCTATCTCTCTGTCTCTCTGTGTGTCTGCCATTCTCACTGTCTCTCTGACTGTCTCTCTCTGTCTCTGTCTCTGTCTCTGTCTCTGTCTCTCTCTCTCTCTCTCTGTGTTTATCTTGGTCTGTCCATCTCCAACTCTGACAGCACAGAGGAAAAGCCCACTGGATCTGGAACAGAGAATTCCATCTACCACTTACTGCCTATATGACCCTAGGTTAGTCACTCCACATCTCTGGGCCTCAGTTTCCTCATCTCTAAAATGAAGATGTTGGACAGATAACATCCAAGGTCCCTTACAGCTCTAATTCTATAGTCATATGACATAGAATTCATAAGAGGAAGGTAGACGCCCCTTACCTGTTTTTCTTGGATCATAGAATTAGAGACAAAATTGGAAGGGACTTTAGAGCTGGGGTTCAAACCTGGGGTTCTCCTGCCTCCAGATGCCACAGGTAGCATACATAGTGGCTTTAATTCTGGATTTGGAATCAGGAAGACATGGGTTCAAATCCTACCTCATTTAATTACTGGCTGGGTGATCCTAGACAAGTCACCTAACTTCTCTGAGTCTCAGTTTCCTTATCTATAAAATGAGGGAATTGTATTCAGTGACCTCTAAGATCCCTCCTAGCTCTCTAAATGTATGATGCTCTGATCATCTCCAAGGGAGTTGACCAACTTCTCATTTTGATTAAATGTAAGTTGAGGAAATTAATTAATTACATAGAGAAGAAATTAATGGGTAGAATTTTTTTTTAAAAAAGTCTTAGGAAAATCAAGAAATGACAACTATAACTCTTTTGAATACTTTAAAACTTTTTAAAGAATTTTTACAGTTTTTACATTATTACATCCTTACCAAATTCCTGTAAGATAGAAATTATTATCCTCATTTTGCAGATGAGAAAACTAAAATATAAAGAAGTAAAATGACTTGTCTGTGATCACAAAGGAAGTTAATGGCAAAGCTGAGACCCCAGCCCTGACTGCCACACTCCTACACACCATCCACTGAAACATGCATCCTCCTCATTTGACCCTGACATTAAATTGATCCTGATATTTGACTTGACATTTGATTTGACCCTGGCATTAAATAAAAAATATATGTATGTATTGTGTGTATATCTAGATACATATCTGTATCTAGATATACAAAATATATATACATATATTTAATGTGTACATATTTATTTATTTATTTAATGTCAAGGTCAAATCAAATGTCAGGTCAAATATCAGGATCAATTTAATGTCAAGGTATATGTTGTGTGTGTGCATATGTATATATGTATGTATGTATGTATCCAGCATGTTGTTCTAGAATATAGGGTCTCAACAAACACTAAGTCTAAGTATCTGGCATCATTGTTTCTTTATTTAAAATCCCATTAAGAAAACACATTGCCCTGTTCATAGTGGTTCTAGATAGACAGTTTCTATGGAGCCTAGTGCTTCTGGATAGGAGATCCTGGTCTAATGATTACCTGGACAAGAATGGCTTAGGAGATAGTAAATTCTCCTGGAGGTCTTCAAGAGAAAGCAGCATAACCATTTCTTAAGGAGTATAGTAGAAGGGATTCTTATGGGCAGCTAAGTGGCACCACGGACAGAGCACCAAGCATGGAGTCAGAAGGACCTGAGTTCAAATCTGGCCTCAGACACTTACTAGCAGTGTGACCCTGAGCATGTCGCTTAATCTTATTTGCCTCAGTTTCCTAATCTGTAAATGAGCAAGAAAAGGAAATGGCAAACCAATCCAGTATCTCTGTGAAAAAAACCCCAAATGAGGTCATGAAGAGTCAGACACAACTAAAAAACAACAGAAGGGATTCTTGCTCGGTTATAAGTTAAACTAGATGACCCCTGAAACCTTTCCTAACTTTGGATTCTTTGATCCTTCTACCTCCCTTCATATAGCCCTAACCATGCACCTATAAACCCTTAATCTGAATTGATTTAGCATTGTTTGCTAGTAATCTCTATAGTTATCCCTTCCATATCACTGGGGTTAGGGATGAGTGCCCCCTCGATCTGGAAAATCCATGTAAAAATTTTCCGGCCCTTCTTTCATGCCAGCTAGTAAGTGTCTGAGGCTGAATCTGAATTCAGGTTCTCCTGCTCAAGAGCCAGTGCTCTATCCACAGAAAGTGCTTTCTAAACTATACAACTTTACAGAAATGTGAGTTATTATTATTAAAAAGTACTCTTTGACACAATGCTCAGTTAAATTATAATGAAATAAGTGACTTGGGGCTACTGACAGGGAAGGTCCTACTGATACACAGCTGCTCACCTGGAATGACTTCAAAGACAAATTTCCCAGCTTCTTCTGGATTCGTGGCAATCTCTTTGACGGTGCTTCCTGGTAGATACATGGAGCCCTGTAAGAATAAACAGTGGCATTTTTGGGAAGAGTTGGCATCAGAATGCCTTCATCGACACACTGAATGGAAAGAACACTGAATTTGGAGTCAGAAGACTTGGATTCAGATCCTGATTCTGCCATTTACTACCTTCATGAGCTTAAACAAATCACCTTACTTCTGGGTCTGAGATTCTACACTCATAAAATAAGAAGGCCAAACTAGTTGAGCAGTATGTTCTAAATCCTATGCCCTTTAATCCAGAAATTATGTCATCTAGTTATATGCCTGCTTGAAAGGTCAACCTAAGAGCCAGAGTCCTGCATGGATCTAGCAGTCAGGCAACAGACATTTATTAAGGGCCTACTATATTCCAGACACTGCTAGGTACTGAGAATACAAATATATAAGGAAAAAAGCCATCCCCTCAATCAATCAATTAACATTATTAAGCACCTACTATGTGCCAGGCACAGTATTAGGTGCTGGAGATACAAATATAACAGCAAGAGTAATTTCCCTCAAGAAGCTTACATTCTACAGAGGTGATGAAATATGTTCTCAAATAAATAAAAACAGGATGCAAACAAAATAAATATAAAACTTATCTTAGGGAAGAGGGAATTAACAACTTGTGGAATCTAAGAAGGTCTTATAAAGGAGGTGGCACTTAAGCTGAACTTTGAAAAGAATTAGGAATTCTAAGAGACAGAGGTGAAGAAGGAGAGACTGCTAGGCCTGAGGAATAGCCCATGCAAAAGCCTGGAGGTGAGAAATGGAGAATCATCTATGGGGAACAATGAGTAAAACAGTTTGGATGCAACATAATATGTAAAGAATGTAATGGGTGAATATATAATGGAAAATAGGCTGAAATGTATACTAACCCTAGAAAAGTAGATTGGAGGCACACGGTGAAGGAATTTAAATGCCAAAGAAGCTTAGGTTTGATCTGAGAAGCAACAGGGAGCCAGTGGAGTTTATTTTAGAAGGAGGTAAGCTGGTCAAACCTATACTTTAGCAATATCCTCCTAGCAGATGTTGGAGGATGGATTGGAAAAGAGAGAAGCTGGAAGGACAGAGAGAGAGAAAGAGAGAGAAAGAGGGAGAGAGAGAGGCAGAGACAGAGACAGAGACAGAGACAGAGACAGAGACAGAGAGAAAACAGTGTCATGAAAACCCAGGCACAAGTTAATATGCAGAAAGGTCAGGGTGGGGATGGAGTAATTATCAGTCAAAAGTTCAGAGATTAATAAGGACGAGAGCTAAGAAAAGAGCACTGGTTCAAACAACAAAGATGTCATTGGTGACCTTGGAGAAAGCAGTTTCAGTCTAGTGGTTCCATCAAAAGCCAGATTACAAGGGGTTGAAAAGTGAGTGGGAGGTGAGAAAGTTAAGAACACCTGACTATCAACTGCTCTGTTGTTTGGGTGATTGTTTGTTTTTCCTCCTGAAAGTTTGTCTGCTAAAGTGGGGAGAGATAAGAAGATAGATTGAGAGGATGGTTGGACCACATGAAAGCTTTTCAGCAGTGGGGGAGATACAGCCAGGAACGAGCCAATGGATGAGGTGAGGTTACAAATTAGGGAACTTTAAAGAGATAATAGAGTGTATCTGTGTGCACTCACTGCTTTGGGGCTCTCTTCATAGCCCAGAACTCCTTAAAGGATGAACATACATATAGAGGCTGCATGGGACAAGTCTTTAGGAACTAAAGGCCGTGAAGTTAATCCAAAGCAATTCAATGTCAATTTTTCTCCTAATAAACAAAAATCTCTATCCCTGGTGTTACTGTAGGACCATTATTAGGACCACATGTGTTTTGCTCAATTAGCCTTTTTCACAGAGATTACAAAACAATCCTTTCATAATATTAAATATTAATATTAATTACTGTTTGTTATTAATTTTAATATTAAATAAGGATGAGTGGGTGAAGAAGCATATCTTTAATCACTGATTAAGCTTATTTTACAAACACTGATATGGAAAAGAACCTAAGTGTCATAGCTAAGGATCATGGGAACTTCAGCTAGAAGAGACCTTAAGATCACAGGATCATAGCTTGAGAGTCAGAAGGCAACTCAACCTCCTCATTTTGTAGATGAGAAAACTGAGACCCAGAGGGTTATGAGTAGCAGACACCAAATTCAAACCTAAGTCCTTCGACTCCAAATTGAATTCTCTTACATGATGCTTCTTTGTCTGCTGTTATCTACACCACAAAACAACAACTTGCAACTTTACTAATTAGACTCCTATTTGTGCTTCTTTACCAAAGTTTTAAATGTGGGGAGAGATTTGCCTAAAATAAAATTTTCTACCTTCATTAAAGTAAGCCATCCATACCAGCAGATAAATGGTATGTTGCAAAGTCTGTTTCAACTTCAAATGTTCCACATTTCCCAGCAGGGATGTAGGCTAAATAAGCGGCATCGTTACAACAGAGGGTTTTACTTAAACCAACAAACAACTGGGCTGCTCAAAATATTAAAAGATCCAGAGGAAGCCCTTCAAAGTGTTGGGTCAATCCCTAAGAAAAAATGTACAGAAAGACATGATTAAGGCCAAATAAGATGAGGAAGCACGTATGGGTTGTAATCTATATCCATGTAGAGAGTACTCACACAGGTAACATCACAGATCCAGCAAAGAAACAAATAATTTATCATCACACTAGAAACCAAATCCTGATTCACTAATATGCTTATTTTTCTTTCCTAGTGGTCCTTAGAATCTTGTAGGAACAGAGAGAAATAAATGGTACCTAAAAACTTTTAAATGTTAGGAAAGGAGCTCTAAGCAATGTCACCAATGGACAAGCCAGTTTGTCTCTTTGAGCATCAGTTTTCCAGCTCAAAGAATCCTGTACTTGGAATCACATGAGATGGAACTGGAATCTGGACTCAGCCAATATTAGTTACATAACCTTGGGTAAATCATTTAATATCTCTGAGCATCAATTTTCTTGCCATAACAAATACAACCCAACGTATCTTAAGTACGCACCACGTACAAGGCGCCATGCTAGGTTCTGGGATTACAAAGACAAAAACAAAACCATCTCTGCCCTCAGGAAGCTTATGCTCTACTGGAGAATACAATATGGACACATGTAAATAGTATAATGAAATTTGAGGAGATGAGAATATGGAAAATCAGGAAAGCATCCTCTAGAATGTGGCCCTTCAAAGAAGTTAAGGATTCTGAGACATAGATGTGAGGAACAATTGCATTCTAGGCATAGTGGGTAGCCCTGAGATGAGAGATATAATGACAAGTTTGGGAGGAAATGAGTAGTCCAATTTGGATGAAACAAAAATGGGTAAAGGGGAGTAATATGAAATGTCTAGAAAAGTTGGTTGGAACCGCATGGTAAAGGGCTTATATGCCAGGGGACATTATTTATATTCTATCCTACAAGCAATAGGAAGGAACAAAAAATTTCTGAGCAGCAGATTAGGGGGCAGAAGGAAAGCTTGGCATTGCCTGACCTGCACCACAGATTTTAAAAGAGCAGATTTCAAATAGTTCAAGAGAGGAATAGATAGGATCCTATGGGCCAAAATTCCACAGAAGAAGTCAGGCCAGGGAAGATGAAAAATTCTCAAGAATAAAATTATGAAGATACAAAGAAAAACAGGTATAAAGAGGAGAGAAGATACCTATGTGGCTACACAAGGAATTTGATAACCAACCTAAGATTTTTAAATGATATGTACAGAAGATGAAAGTAAAAACAGGTAACAAGATGAACACAAAAGCATAGCATAGTCTTGCAATGTGCGTCAAAAGTACTCATCAGCCTTACCATATGGCCTGCTCCTGAACCCTAAGGAACACCAGATCTTCCCATCATCCCTGCTCCTGAGCCCTCTGATGTACGCTGACTCCTCCAACTAGCATGGGAGAGCTCCTTGAGGTGAAGGACTCGATCATTTTTCTCTTATCCCCAGCACTTAGCATACATAGTAAGCAATTAATAAATGCCTTTTTTCCATCATTCACTCCTGGCAAAATTCTAGAATGTATTGTTAAAGTGACAGTGAGCATCTACAGTGATCTACAGTGACCATCGACCCTGTAATGGCTTCATCAAGAGCTGGTCACCGTAGGCTAACCTTGATTCTTTTGTTAACTAGGGTATCGGACTGGGTCCTCAGAGCTCTAGATAAAGGTACCGGTTGTTGTTCTTGTTCAGTCATTTCAATCATGTCCAACTCTTTGTGACCCCATTGGGGTTTTCTTGGCAAAGACACGGAGTGGTCTGCCATTTTCTTCTCCAACTCATTTTACTGATGAGGAACTAAGGCAAACAGGGTTAAGTGACTTGCCCAAGGTCTCAAAGCCAGGAAGTGAACCCAGGAAGGTGAGTCTTCCTGATCCCAAGCCCAGTGCTCTATCCACGGCACCACCTAGCTGCCTCAGATAAAGTTACCTAGATTTTAGCAAAACCATTTGACCAAATCCCTCACACTATTCTTGTGGGAAAGATAAAGAGATGTGGGCTAGTGTCCAGTTAGATAGATTTAGAATAAAAATATTTGACCTATAGAGTGTTTTAAGCTTTGCAAAGCAATATATGTGTACATACATACATGCATGCATACATACATACATACATACATACACATGTATATAAGTTATCTGATCTGATCCTCAGAACCCTTGGAGGTAGGTGCTGTTATTATCTCCATTTAAAAGGTGAGAGACACTAAAGGGCTTGTGCAGGATGATGCAGATAATATGAAGGAGGATCTGAAAGCCAGCCTTCCCTGACTCCAAACCAAACACTGTCTGCCTCTTGGCAATGACTGAATGATTGAACCCAAAGAATCATTGATGTCAAGTTGGAAGGTCTCTGGTAAAGTCTGTTTCATATTGAGCATTTTTTCAAATGACTTGGATAGGGGCAGCTCGGGGCACAGCAGATAGAGCTCTGGTGTTGGAATCAGGAAGACCTGAGTTCAAATCCGGCCTCAGACACTTGACACTTACTAGCTGTGTGACCCTGGGCAAGTCACTTAACCTCGATTGCCTCACCAAAAATTTTAAAAAAAATGACTTGAATAAAGGCATGGCTGGCATTCTTACCAAAACCTTGAGGCACCCAGGTGTACAGCGGATCTGAAGTCAGGAAGACCTGAGTTCAAGTCTTTTGCGTGGTTGTTGTTCAGTCATTTCAGTCATGTCCAGCTCTTCTTGACCCCATTGGGGGTTTTTTGGCAAAGATACTGGAGTGGTCTGCCATTTTCTTCTCCAGCTCGTTTTACAGATAAGGAAACTGAGGCAAACAGGTTAAGTGACTTGCCCGTGGTCAGACAGCTGGCTAGTAAGTGTTCAAGGCCAGATTTGAACTCATGAAGATGGTCTTCCTGACTCAGGCCTGGCACTCTATCCACTATGCCACCTACCTGCCCCAAGGAGTTCAAATCTAGCCTCGGACATTTATGAGCTCTGTGACCCTGGGCAAGTCACTTAATCTCTGTCTACCTCATTTTTCTCCTCCGTAAAATAAGAATATTAATGGCCCCTTCTTTCCAGGATTGTTGCAAGGACTAAATGAGATAATATTTATAAAGTGCTTAATATAGTGACTGCCATAGTTAGTGCTAAATAAACTCTAGCCGTTACTATAATCATCATCATCATTATCGTTATTATTTACTCCCAGGAGTGCTATAAAGATAAAATAAGATAATATTTATAAGACACTTAGCACAGTGCCTGACCCATTTATAAATTATAATAATAATATGAAATATTATTAATGTTATTAACTCCTATGGTTATTGTGAAGATCAAATGAAATATTAAATGTAAAGTTCTTTGCACCTCTTAAAGCACTATGTAAATGCTAGCTGTTATTAAGATTTCCAAATTTGCGTTGGACAAAGCTGTAAAGAAGGATCATTAACATATTAAAGGGCAGAGTCAAAATCAAAAAGATCTAGACACTGGACCAAGTCTAATAAAATGAAATTTAATACAGGCCACTGTAAAGTTATCTGGTTGGATTCAAATAATCAGCTTCCCAAATACAAGATGGAGGATATGGCAAGATCTGGAAAAGATCTGGGGGCTTTAGCAGACTGCAAGCTCAATATGAGTCAACAGTATAGCAGACGCTGTATAATCCTAAACTGCATTAAGAAGAGGAATGAGTGCCACTTTACTCTGCCCTTATCAGAACTTATCAGTTCTGTTTAGGACTAGGCACCATATTTTAGAAAGGCCATTTGTAAACTGGTGAACGTCCAGCAAGTAACCAGAGTTGTGAAGGGCCTCAAATTTGTGCTACATGGAGAGAACCTGAAGGAAATTGAGATGGTTGGCCCAGAGAAGAGAAACTTGAAGGGCATGTGTTGGTTGTGGCCAAGTATTTGAAGGACTCTTAAGTAGAAGAGGGAATAGATCTGTTCCACTTGACCACAGAGAGCAAAACCAATAGCAACAGGGAGAAGTTGCCGTGATGCAACCTTAGGTTAGATGTAAGACAAAAACTTGTTTTACGAGGACAGTTATTCAAAAGCAGATTGGTCTGCCTTCAGAAAAAGAGGACTTCCCCTTCCTGAGGTCTTCGAGCAAAGACTGAATGAGGACTAGTCTTCAAATGACATCACATATGTAAAGCACAGTGGACAGAACGCTGGGCCTAGAATCAGGAAGACCCAAGTTCAAATTCAGCCCCAGACACTTATTAGCTATGTGACCTTGGGCAAATCACTTAACCTTCTTTGCTTTGCCTCAGTTTCCTTATCTGTAAAATGAGCTGGAGAAGAAAACGGCAAGTCACTCTAGTATTTTGCCAAGAAAACCCCAAATGGGATCACAGTCAGACACAACTAAAATGACTGAATAACAAATGTGAAGTACTTTGCACATCTTTAAGTGTTCTGCAAATGTTAGCTGCTATTATTATTTGGGTATTTTGAAGAGGGGATTTGGGAACAGCTGTAGGTTGGGCTAGATGGCCCCCAAGACCCCTTCAGATTCTGGCATTTCAAGTGAAATGATCAGGTCTGTACCTTAGTAAGATTAGAAACCCTACCTGTTTCACATGTTTCTCTTGAAAGGAAAGACAATTTATGTAAAGAATTGTATAACCTTCAGTCTGTCACCTATGAAACAGAGATTTGGAACGATTTCATCTCTAAGGCCCCTTTCAATTCTAAATGCTCATTTCTATACATCTGTGATCTGTCAGTATCGTTATCAGGTATCTTCCCACGATCTACCTGAAGGCAAAGGCAAAGATTCTTAATTAATTAATTAATTATGCATTTATAAAGCACTTACTTTGAGATTTTTAGCCTGTATTTCTAGTAATGGAGAGACGAGCTGCTGAGCAGCGATGTGAGTTAGCTCCCCGGGTTCCCATAAATCCGAGAGTAGAACCCCAGAGTCAGGATATCTGAGCAATCTATTCATTCCTTTCCCTTCTCCCTCACTCCCTCTCTCCTCTCTCTTTTTCATAGGATCATGGAATCTCAGTGTCAGAAGGGACTTGAAGAGTTATCTATTGGGTCCAGCCCAAACCCGCCCAGGAAATTCCCTCTACAACATTCCCTAGTCCTCTCTCCTCTCTTTTCGAGAAAGTGCATTCAGACAGACCGCAAGTTTTCACTTGGGAGACTCCATGCTGCCTGAACCTGGGCATCAGTTTGGCTGACTCCTGACTTCTGTGATCTCTGTTCCTATTATGGGTGCCGGGACCATTCTAGGGAATGGTCTTACACACTTTCTTAGACTTCGCCCAGCTTCTTCACGGAGAAAGGGAAGAACAGTAACAAAAATCATGATAATGACTACCATTTCTATTAGCTCCTTAGGATTTACAAAGAACAATAACTCTGAAGGGAGGGAGTAATTATCCCCATTGTAAGGAGGTGAGGAACTGAAGCCTAGAGAGGTGAAATGAATCAAATCCAGTTCTCCTGACTCCATGACCAACACTTTTTTCCATCACACACCCTCAAAATACCAGGTTAAATCATGCAAGTGGGGAGGGTTAGGTTGGATGGCTGGGCCCGGATCTATGTTCTACCCTTTTGCAAGTCATTACTGAGGCCTGAGCTTGTCTTGCCCTTCCCCCTGAGCTGGTGCAACTCCAGATATCATTTTTTTTAGCTAGGCAACTTCAAAATCGCCTGGGCATGTGGGTGAACAGAGTCACTTTCAGTTCCTTTATTTGGATTTGAATAGAACTATTCTCTTTCTAAAATTATCTCCTTTTTTTCATTCTTCCTCTCTTTCTCTCCCTTCCCAGGCTTTTCTAGGTTCCCATTAGTTGCCAAGTTCGGTTGTCCTGTCTAGTTCTCTCTTCCCCTACCCATGGGTTCACCTTGACCAGCATTAGTCAGTTGTTAAGAAGAATTACCTAATTAATGGGAGTCACATTTTGGGATCCAATAGAACCTATAAGAAGTGAAGTGGGTGCTAAGAGGTATGGAGAAAACATGGGTGTAATTAAAGATTCAGGATCAAGACCCACATCTAATCTGCCACCCACATCTACCAGCTAACAATGTGGGGGCTGGAGAAAGAACACTGGACTTGGAGTCATGAGGACATGGTTTTCATCCCAGTTCAGCTGCTTATTATCTTTGTGACCTTAGGCCTTCCCCTTTGTGGGCCTCAGTTTCCTTCTCTGTAAGATAAGCAAATTAAACTGGACGGGGGTACTTAACTCTTTCCATGTTATGGCCTCCATTAGCTGGTCTGGTGAAGCCTATGGACCTTTGTCAGAAGGTTTTTTAGAGGCAAAAAATAAAATACATAATATTACAAAGGAAACCAATTCTATTGAAATAACTGCATTTTTAAAAGTTCACAGTCACCAGGTTAAGAATCCATGGATTAAATTATCTCTAAGATCTCATCCAACTCAAAATCCTATGATCCTGTCTTCTCTTCAGCCACCACATTAAGCTCCTACTAAAATGACTCAAAGCTGTGGTTAGAAGCTCCCAGGCTTTCATCCTGGTGTTTCTCCCTGCTTCTAAGTGGCTCAGTGGACAGAGCACTGGGGCTAGCGTAAGGAAGACCTGAGTTCAAATCTAGCTTCATACAGTTGTTTGACCTTGGGCAAGTCACTCAACCTCTCTCTCAATCAATAAACATTTATTAAGCATCTGCTACGTGCCAGGCACTGTGCTAAGTACAATAACATGAGAATGATAGTAGCCTCTACTTCAAAGGTTGTCATGAGGATTAAATGAAATAAAATATGTAAGGTATTTTAACACAGTACTTGGCATACAATAGGTGCTTAATGACATGTCATTTTGCCCTCTTTGCTCTTCAGTTTATAAATCTGGAGAACAGAGAGGGGGAATTAATTACTTCCAAGGTTTCTAGTCAGAGTGTAAGACCCCCCATGCTACAGCAGATCCCACTCAAGGAGGTCTCCACAGAGCCTTCCACCCCTGTCTCCCTGCTGGACCACATCCCCCAGGATCCTACCTGAGGCTTGACATCCTCTTCATCTTTGTAGTAGTACAACTGCTGGCCTTTTAACACAAAGTATCTCTGCTGCCAGTTTTTCACGATGGACCGCTGCTTCTTCAGCCAGCCGATCTTCAGGGGCCGCTCCAGGGCATTGGGGGATGACGGCTGATGGAAGGAGGCCATCTGCTCCCCAGTCATCACACTCCTTGACCGAGCTAGAGATTGCAACAGAGAGGCAGTCTGACTGAAGGACATAAGCATTGAGACTCAGGATACCCAGCCAGAAGGGCAGGAGGGAAACCAGACAGAGGATCGAGGAAGGAGGGTTAGCCTGGGCTCCTGGGACCCCGATCTGGATCAGGCCAGCGGCCCCACGGTACCAGGAGCTGATTGGGTTCAGGTTAGGGAAGGGGGAGGAGGGTCAGTAGGCACAAAGCTAAAGAAATAGTTGAGCCAAAGCTAAAACTTAAAAACAAAATTAAGACCTTGAGTCCTAGAGTACAGTCAGTCCTGTTACCGATCACAGCCGGGTTGGTCTGCAGAACGCAAAGCTGGCTGGAGGCTTTTGAAAAGGAAGTGGCCACAGCATTTGACAAAAGATGCTTCCTTTTTCCTGCGTGGGAGTGAATATCTGACAAGAGAAAGAAACTACAACTTTGCTGGGAGGGCTAAGGGTGAGCCCCACACAGCAGCTGGGGAGGCAGCTGGAGGTAGCCCTGGCATCAGTCCACAGAGGAACAAGGGGGTTGCATTTTCTCTAACCTTGCCATCACCCCAGAACTCTTCCCCAGCATGAGAACCCATTCAGCAATGCTTGGCCACTGCCCAGAAAATCAAAGCAAGGAAACTGTGCAACTCCTGAAATAACCTAGAAAAGCTCCCATAAGGACGTGGTCCAGGGCTGCTTTGTTGTTTGGAGGAGGGGCACCCAGGTGAACACCTACCCGGGCTATACAACAGCCTACTGATGGTCTGCCCACTTCCACTGGCACCCTCCTCCCATCTGTGTTTCACATTCCTGCTGGAATGATCTTCCTCATGCATAGGTCTAGTCACAATACTCCTCTGATCAAAAATCTTCAGTAGCTCCCTAGTGCCCTCCCAAGAAAAAATTCCAACACTTCTGCCGGGTATTCAAGGATCATCTCAATCTGCTCTCTGCCCCTACCTTTTTGGCCTTGGGGTTTTTTTTCTTTTTAATTTTGTTTTTATTTATTTATTTTGTGAGGGAATTAGGGTCAAGTGACTTGTCCAGGGTCACACAGCTAGTAAGTGTCAACTCTCTGAGGCCAGATTTGAACTCAAGTCCTCCTGATTCCAGGGTTGGTACTTTATCTACTTTGCCACCTACCTGCCCTGGCTTGGAATATATTCCCTGTCCATGAACTCTACATCCCAGCCAAACTAGACTGTTTGCTATCCCTGAATACATCCTACATATTGCTACCCTGATGGCTTTGCTCACTTTGTCCCCTATGCCTGAGACGGCCTCCTTCCAACTTCTCACCTTCCAAATTCCTATCCATCCTTCAAAGTCAACCAATCAACAAATATCTATAAAGGGCCTACAATGTGCGGGACACAGCTCCTCTGTGAAGATTCCTTAATCCTCTGGTCAATAAATCTTCCCTTTTGGACCTCACTTAGCACTTTGTTTTTACCTCTTTAATGTACTCATCACATAATATTACTCATTATAGTTATCTGTGTTGGTACCATCTCCCCACTAGGGGATCAAAAGAGATAACACGGTGGAGAGAGCACTGGCCCTGGATTCAGGAGGATCTGAGTTCAAATCCGGTCTCAGACACATAACACTTACTAGCTGAGTGACCCTGGGCATCACTTAACCCCCTTGCCTAGCCCCCCAAAATTAATTAATTCATCAATTAAATAAAAGAGATAACATATTGTTGTTGTTGAGTCTTTTCAGTCATGTTCAACTCTTCATGACTCCATTTAAGATTCTCTTGGCAAAGATACTGAAGGGGGTTGTCATTTCCTTCTCCAGCTCGTTTGACAAATGAGGAAGCTGAGGCAAACAGGATTAAGTGACTTGGCCAGAGTCGTATAGCTAGTTAGTGTCTGAGGCTGCATTTGAACTCAGGTCTTCCTGACTCAAGGCTCAATGTTCTATCTGCACCACTTAGCTGCCCCAAAAGTGCTGTAAGTGTGAGCTATTGTTATTAGGAGAATAGGGATCGAGTCTCATGTAAATGTTGTATCTTTGTCAGCGTCCAAGCGCATAATGCTTGTCGTATTTGTATCTGCAGTTTCAGCACCTGGAACACTTTATACTGATCACAAGATTTCACAACGGATTGCTCTAAACGATTCCCAACCATTCTCATCCCCTACTGGGGCAGGCTATAAAAGGAAAACACATATGCCCAACACTGGACAGGCCCAAAACCAGAGCTGCCATGGGTAACCATCAGCCCACAAAGCCCCCTAGTTGGATTACTTTTTAATAAAAGGATTCTGACCATAATTCGGTCAGCTCAAGGCCATAGTGTATCTGAGATCAACCCAGAGCTTACAGGCTTTTGTCAGTAGTCAGTATCTACAATGGAGCGAGAATTCAGCTGGGAGTTCGAAGGCCTGGATTCTAGTCCCAGGCCCTGCCATGTACTAGCTGTGTGTTTTAGGGAGTCACTTACCTCTCTGATCCTCAGTTTTCTCATCTGTAAAATGGGGAAATTAGACTGGATAAAGGCCAAGGTTTCCTTTTAACTCTGCAATATATGATCTTGTGATTGAATACAAGAAAACAATGACCCTGACCTTTACAGAACTGGGATTCATTCACTGGAGCTACCAGGGGAATGAGTCCTGTGATAGGGCCTAGGCTCTAAGAAGCTTCTGGATTTCTTTTGTGCCCTTGGTTTTGTTAATTTTTCCTTTTCAGCTTCATTTGGCAAATTTTCTGCTTCAAGGTTGTCCCCATTGACTTATAAGAGCAAGCTCATAGGGACATATGTCATTGTTAGTAGTGGGGTATTTTTTTCCTCAAAACAAAAACAGATATAGTGATAAACTTTGATCCAGTGCCAATCATTGTACAGGCCCTGGCATATTTCCTGTCCTTCAGGAGTAAAGTCTAAATTAGACCAATAACACGCAGATTAGGGAGGTAAACACACCCTGGCCCAACCACTCAGTGAATCAATAGGCCTTCCCTGAGGTCTTACTATGTGCCAGGCAGTGGCCCTATGGATTAGAGAGGAGACAAACCATAATGAAGAAGTGATTTAGGGAAAAGAGGACTATCTCTGTAGTAGGAAGTCCTGGGTTTGATTCATAAGATTTAGAACTGGAAGGGACTTTAGAGGTCGTCTATTTCATTCAGCCCTCTCACAAGGCCCAGAGAGGCAGGTTGAGTGGCCAAAGTTACATAGTTAATGGAAGAGATGAATTCAAGCCCAGGGCCTTTGACCCAAATTCCACCACACTTGGTACCTCCCAAATACGCCACTTACTAACTGTATAATGCTGGATGAATCACTTCCCCTCTCTAAGATTAGTTTCCTTTTCTGTAAAAAGAAGAGGACAGGCTAAATGATTTCCAAGGTACCTCCCAGCTCTACAATTCAATAGCGCATGAACACTTCCAGGAAGAGTTCTGTGTAGACAGATGAGTCAAGTCTTAAAGATGAAGAGGGTAGACAAGGCATGAACCATGAAGCCACTCATTAACTGCTAATTAGGAATATGACATAATGGGGCACCCCCCACCCCAAGTAGGCAGCCATCAAAAAGAAAGCTAATTTAGCGGGGCTGCCAGTTACTACCACATTTGTTAACTTTCCCTATCACCACTTGAGAAATCAAAAGTAAAGGGATTTCCCCTTTCTTCCTCTCCATTCCCACATCCCCCTACCCCATTCACGCATAATCAGTTTAAGTCCACAACTACTCATTTCTGAGTCTCTCTTTAAGGAACTGGGAATGGTTAACCCAAAGAAGAGAAGACCTGTAGTGCTCATGAGCTCCGTACTCAAGTATCTGGAGAGCAAACATGTTTATTCAGTGGTTTCAGTTGTGTTCGACTCTTCGTGACCCCATTTGGTGTCTTCTTGGCAAAGATACTAGAGCGGTTTGCCATTTTCTTCGCCAGCCCATTTTGCAGATGAGGAAACTGAGGCAAACAGAGTTAAGTGATTTGCCCAGAGTCACACAGTTGGTAAGAGTCTGAGACCAGAACTCAGGTCTTCCTGACTCCACACCTGGCACTCTATCCACTGTGCCATGAACATACAGAATCTAATTGACAGGAACTTCATCATCTTGCAAGAAATCTTCTCCAACCCTAGAAACAGAGCCAGATTTGGAACCAAGGGACCTAGGCTTCCAACTTGGCTTGGCCACTTATCATCTGTGTGATCTTAAATAAGCAACAACCTCTCTGGGTCTCCCTTTCCTTATTCGCAAAATGAGGTGGTTGTACGAGATGAAATCTAAGGTCCAGGAGTCACCTGGGCAGGGGGTCCACCCAGCCTGCCAAGGATCTTCCTAGAGATGGCCTCACACTGCAGGGTTTCCAGGGAAGCATGAGGCCTACCCACTAGTTGTCTCTCACTCTCATTATATGACCAGTCTCTATCTTTGTTTGCAGTCAGATGTTTCTCTCATGACATCTTTTGTATCACTTCTCCAACATAACTCCTCATTTGGAATCTGTTGCAGCTTGCTCACTCCCACCATGGCCACTCCATTAACCTTTGGGTCACTGTCAACTTCAATCCTTTGGAGGCTATGCTCTTCCATGACTTAGAGGGATACAACATCCACAGAAGAACCTTAGTATTAAGATACACCTTTGTTTTAAAAAGGAGCTTGGGTTATTAAGAGCCATGTGCACATTCTCAAAGGCAGTCAGCCCACTCTCTACCTCCTGCTCTGTTCTTCGCCCAGCTGATTGTCCATTGATGGGGGTTACTCAAGATACAAGTACTGATGACCAGTTCTGTGGGTTATTCATCCAACTGCATGTCATGGTCTCTACAATAAGCATCCTTCATTCACTTAGATAAATGGGATTTTCTTTGTTTTTTTTAAATAACATTTTATTTTTCCCCAATTACATGTTACAAAATTTTTTAACATATCAATCAAACTACTAAAAAATTATTTTATAGAACTAGAAAAAATAATGAAATCCATCTGGAAGATTTTCCTTATTTGTGAGGATATTTAGAACATATCCTCATGAATGGGGAGAATATCCTTCATTACACAAAGTCATTGCCTAAAGGTGCTTACCATCTAGGGATAAATAGGGATAAATAAAAGATAAATAACACTAGGCCATCCACGCTAATAGTACAATGAATGTTATAAGGAAAGAGAATAAGCATTTTTGTTGCACCTACTATGAGCCAAGCACTATGCTAAGCGCTTTTATTTTTTTTAACAAATATTATCTCATTTGACTAGAACAACCCTGTGAGGTAGATGATATTATTTTTCCATTTTGTAGTTGAAGAAACTGAGGCAAAGGTTAAGTGCTTTGCCCATGGTCCTATAGCTAGTAAGTGTCTGAGGCTGGATTTGAGCTTGGGTCTTCTTGACTCTAGGCCCAGTATTCTATCCATTGTGCCATCAG